CCCCCCCTCCCCGACTTTCATCCTGACCCCCTGAGACTAAGACTGTGTGAACCAATTCCGCTCGAGGACAGCAAGCCTGCTAAATAGCAGTGTCGCAAGTCGGCGGAAGCAGCTCTTACCCTCTCAACCTCACCCGCTCTCCCGTCCTCCTCCCTTATCCACCGTTCGGCTGATACTCAGAACGCGCACTGGCGCCAACGTGTCCTCGTCCACAGACTCCCGTCAGCACGACGCGAGCTACGCAACGAAGGCCGACGGCTGCGCGCTGCCGCTGGAGCCGAACGGGGTAAACCACACACTGCGCCGACGCGGATCACCGGCCCTGCTGCTGGGCTCCCCCCCCCCCCTGGCGCCGACCCCCCGCCCCACGATCCAGGGCCCTCCCCCCAACGCTGCCCAGAGGCCACGCTCGGGCGCGCAGGGGCCTGCGCCGAGTCCGTGCCGCTGGCGTCGTCGAGGGCCTCGCCCAGAGGCTCAGGCCGACGACGACCACCACCATCACCGCGAACGCAACCACGACGACGACCACCAGCACCGCCACGACCGCAGCGACCGCGACGACGACGACCACGGCGGCGGCGGCGGCGGCGACGGCGACGTCCATGACGACGGCGACGGCGGAGGCGGCGACGGCGGCGACCGCAGCGATGGCGACGTCGTTTGGAAGAAACTGATGTGACCTGCTAGACACCAACGCTTTTTGGGCTCAAGACGACCGAAGATGGCCACAAGGGATCCCAAGAATGCTCGAAACGGCACAGTAGGCTAGACGCCCCAAGAGGGGTCCAATTGTCCCTCCAGGAGGCCCAAGAAGATGTCAAAGGCATTGACGCTCCATGGGTGTTTGAATTATTTTGAAGGCGGGGGCGGCGTTGGTTTGCAGCAGGCGTCTTAGATTCGATTCGGAACGTGCATGGGATGTTAAATATACCCAGAACTCGGCCAGGCTGGAAAGGGGCAAAAATCAGTGGTGCGCATACGGCATCACCACTACAAGCATGAAATGGATGGCCGTCTGGGCAAGGCGAAAAGGCCTCGATGCGCAAAGGACACCGCTCGTTGAAGGAATCAACATCCTTTTCTCCCTCTCCCGTTTCTTCGTTCTTCGGGAGGCCTCCAGGCCTCCGAAAGGTCGGAACCCTGTTCGATGCGTTGCGTTGGAGACCTGGGCACCCACGGCGGTTCTAGCCGAAACCCTGCCAGATCAATTCGGAAGATTCGCTGACAACTCATGGGAGCCTCCCATAACATCGTGTCGGCTCTTGCGAATCGACGCTAGTCGACGCTAAATCGACGCTAATCGACGCTAAACCGACGCTAACCGACGCTTCATCGGCGCTATCTCATCGACTCCAAGACGCTAATCGACGCTAATCGACGCTGACGACAAAATGGCGAGGGTGCACAAGGCTCCCATGACTTGCTACCGAACAAGTCGGTCACCGGACCCCTCCAGGTCCATCCCGGCAAGCTTTGCCGAGCCGCGCCCAGACGTGGCGACAAGAGCCCCCAGCAACCCCCCGAAACACCCCTTGAGACACGAAGGCCTGCAAATGTGGCATCCGAGGCTCGGTCTGGGACTTCCCCTCCTTCTTGGCGGCGCGCACAAGGGGGTAGGGGGAGGAGTGAAGACTTCTCAGAAGGAGGCTGCTTCTTAGAAGGCGCTGGCCCTACATCTATAGATGATGCCCGCACGAAAAACTCCTCCCTCCTCCTCGCCCCCCTCTGCGCGAGGCTGACCCTTCCCCCTGCCGCCGGCCTCGCCCACCTGAAGCCGCACCGCCCCGCAGGGGACCGAGGATCTCGACTCCGCCCACCCGGACAAGGGCCTCGCGGGGCGACACGGCGACGACGCCGTCGACGGTGCTGACGACCGCGGCGACAACGGCGCCAGCGGCGGTGCCGACGGCGGCGGCGGCAGCAGCGAAGACAGCGCTGAGGACGGCGGCAGCGGCGCCGACGACAACGACGACGGCGGCGGCGGCGGCAGCGGCGAAGGCAGCGCTGACGACGGCGGCAGCGGCGTCGACCGCGGCGGCGGCTGCCGCAGCCGCGCGCCGGTCCCCGCGGGCCGCAGCGAGGTGGCGCGGGAGGGGCGGCAGGGAGCAGGCCGGGGCGGCGCGGGGGGCCGCCAAAGCCGAGGCCCCGCCCCGCCCAGGGGCCTGGCGGGTGCCGGGTGAGGCGAATTTTGGGACGAGGATAGGCGCTGGTGCCTATCCTCCTGTGCCTTCTGGCGCGGGGACCTTTGCTTTCTGGCGCGGGGAGAGGTGGGCGCTCGATCGAAACTGAGCCCTTGTCTCGCGAACGGCCGCGGCTGTTGGCAACTGCGTCTGTGGCCCACCAGCGACTTCATCGGGAACGTGTCCTTTTGCTCTCATACACCGCTCTTTTGCGCCAGGCGAGGGGACGAGGATGAATTCGGCCGAGATTACAGCCAACCCGTATCGTAAGGATGCGCGGTAAGGATGCAAGGGCTTTGGAGGGCCAAGTCAGCGTGTTTCGAACGAGGTTGGCCAGCGAAAGTCGCTATACGGATGGGCCGAAAGGGAAGGATGCAAGAGTAACCTTGGAAAGTCGTTCATCCCTACTATGCGGATTGATTGTAATTCGAGAATCTCTGAGATCCTGCGGCTCTGGAGGATGTCTCGGGCGCCGCGGCCCTCTCAAAGCGTTCCAGAACGCTCCGAGAGCGTTCCGGAACGCTCTGGAGCGGATTAATCTTCGTCCCAGCCCCGTCTAGCAAAGGCAGGATCGTCGGCAACGAGGCGGCAACGGGCGGCATTGTGGCGAAACCTCGCGGGACCCACCCAGCGCACGAGGCGGCAACGAGGCGGCAACGAGGCGGCAACGGGCTGCAACCTGAGAGGACGTGGCGAGGGGAAGGAGCAAGACAGGCGCCGATGCCGCTTCCCGTGCGCGCGGGCACGGCAACGCCTCCTCAGGAGGTCGATGGCGGGGCTGGGGCCGCGTCAAATCTTCTGGCCGTCTGTCCCACGGGGTATGGCGGGGAAAGGGCGGGAGAGAGCTGAGCAGCGCGAGGCAAGGTGCAGGAGGGCGTGGTCAAAGCAAGCTTTGTCGGAAAAGGAGAAGGGGCAGAGGCGTCGGATCCCAGTCCGCTTTCTGGCCCAGCGGCCTCCGAGCTGGATTTCGGCATCCCACTGCGCAGCGCGCGCTGGACGAACGTTCCCCCACGGTGCGGGCAGCTTCGGCCACGCGTGCTACGACAGCACAACTGTGGCCTGCTGCCCTCGGATCCGACTGCGTTGGGCGGCACACCCCGCTACTTGTCATTTGGTCCACCCACAAGTCCTAATCGCGGGTTCCTTGTTATTAGTGTGACGTTTCTGCCTCCTTCCTTCCCTCCATTGTCCACCTTTACAGTAAGGTTCACGCGTACTCAGATCCAATCGCACTGGATGATTACGCCTCCTTCCTTCCCTCCCGGTGCCACCCTCACACTGAGACTCACGTATAACCAGACCCACTCGCACCCAGAGTCACTATTACGCACACTCATTCAAATTGAAAGTCGCTCACGTTCACTCGTACTCACATTCAAAAATACCCAGATCCACTCGCACTCACAGTTGCACTTACCGAGGCTCTCCCAATCCCCGGCTCAACCATACACATACGCACTCGCATTCAGATTCAAACCTTCCCCGATTCATTCATACCCACGTTCACTCATCGACGGATTCACTCGCACCCAGGCTCTCATTCAGACTCACTAGCACTCAGACTCACCAAGGGGGGGGACAGGGAACACTGCATGGGCCCATGCGCGACCAGCCTGGTGGGACCGCTCAAGTAGAATGCCCGTTTGGGGAAGCGCACGCGCTGTTCTTCGAACCCCCAAGATCACCGTATCTGGGCCTTCCCAGTGGAAAAGTTGCACACGCGCCCCGTGGGAAGTGGGGGGACGACGGGAAAGAATTGAGAAAGATTCGGAGGGGCGAGAAGATCGGAGGAGGATGCTGCGAAGAGTAGGCGAGCACGCTCCTGGGGAGAAGGCACAGGAGGAGCATTCATAAGCCACCACAAACATCAAAGTAACGCGGCGAACTTCCATTGATCTCCAGCAGCAACGAAAAATTGCAAAAACATGGGGAGGAAGAGGAACTACAGCAGGATAACACACTAGCCACCGAACAATCAAATAAAGAGACAAAACCCACCGATACGCGCGCGCTAAGATAGAGGCGCGCGCACCCTTTTCCACTAAGGCGCCAGTCGCGTCTCGTAACCTGGCACGCGCACACGCAGGAGCAAGAGGGGATCCATCTTCACTCCTCCCTCTTCCTCATATCTGATCCTCATTCCCTCCTCCTTCCTTCCCCCCTCTCCTCCTCCTCATCCTAATCCTCCTCCTCTGCTTCTTCCTCCTCCTCCTCCTCCTCCTCCTCCTCCTCCTCCTCCCCCTCCCCCCTCCTCCTCTCCTCTTCCTCCTCCTCCTCCGCCTCCGCCTCCTCCGCCTCCTCCCCTCCTCCTCTCCTCCTCCTCCTCCTCCGCCTCCTCTGCCTCCTCCTCCTCTTCCTCCTCCTGCTCCTCCTCCCTTTGCTCACCCGTCCCCTCCCCATCCTCTGGATTCCTCCTCCTCCCCCTCCTCCCCTTCCCTACCCCCGCCCCTTCCTGCCTGCCCCTTCCTCTCCTTCCCCCTTCCCCGTCCCCCTCATCCACCCCCCCTTCTGCCCCTATCCCTAGTTGAACCCTGGAGAGCAACTGGCCCAGGTATGAGCAGCCTCCTCCTTGGGCTGGGCCGTGGCAACGCAACGTCGTTTCGCGATCGGTCCTATCCTATCCTGACCTTCCATCATGGGGAAGCGAAAAAGGTACCGGCACCGCTACTCTCAAGACCTCTCCTGGGGTGCGTTTTGACCAGAATACCACCAGCCCTCTGGGCACAGGTGGTTTAACGAGTTGTATCTTCTTTTAGAAGAAAAAGAACTATGCACATACACCGATTCTGGCCAGGCCCACCCTGAGCCCAGGATCGGTACATACGCCCTCCTACCTTGGCCAGGAAGGCATATGCACCGATTATGGTTCAAGGATGGGTCTTGCCAGGATCGGTGCATGTGCATAGTTCTCTTCGCCCGATCTTTCTTCCACAACCCCGTTCCTCCCCTGCTCGGGGTTGGGTATTAATCACTGTTCCCTATTAATATGCACCCCCTCCCCCAGGCGACTGACCGCCAACCAGGCACCATGCTCATCCCCCCCAACATCCTTGTCAAAAACGATACAAAACGCACTCTGCCTCCAAACTCGGAGCATGCGGAACCAACCCGATGCGGGTCCCCCCACCATCCGTGTCAACAAAGTCTGGTGTCATCTTCGTGAGGCCCCAGGCCCGGGAGGGAGGAGGGGGGGGGGGCTGACGCCATTCAGGCCCCCGGGGGGCTGAATGGCGTCAGCCCCGGGCTGAATGGCGTCAGCCCCCGGGGGGCTGACCCCATTCAGGCCCAGGAGGGAGGAGGAGGAGGGGGGGGGGGGGGCTGACGCCATTCAGGCCCGGAGGAGGGAGGGGGGGGGGGGAAGGGGGGAACGCCATGGGCAGGAGAGGGGGGGGGGGGGAGGGGGAGAACGCCATGGCTGACACCATTCAGGCCCGGGAGGAGGAAGTCGGGGGAAGGGGGAGGGGGGGGGAGCTGACGTCATGGCTGACGCCATTCAAGCCCGGGAGGGGGATCTGGAGGGGGGGTAGGGGAGGAGCCCTGACGCCATGGCTGACGCCATTCAGGCCCGGGAGGGAGAAGTCGGGGGGGCGGGGGCTGACGCCATGGCTGACGCCATTCAGGCCCGGAAGGCAGGAGGGGACATACCATGAGTTTGGCTGTTCACGCGAGATCGTCACTTTCGAATATCCGATGCTTGCCCAAGCGAGTTCAACATATCTATTTTATGAGGATGTCTCGAGCGAATTTCTTTAAACATGAAAGGTCTTCCGTTGCAAGCAGAATCGGTAGCACCCCGGATCGGCGGCACTGGCCGGAGGCCACTACAATATAACTTGGGGCAAAGTCTGGAGTTATGTTCGTGAGGCCCGCGAGCACTTTGGATTGTTTTTCGAGAAGGACGGCAGGGGTGTCAGCATATTGCCTGCTGCGCGCAGGGCTATCATCCCTGACAAGAAAAAATACAAAATGCACCCCGCGGCAAAATCTGGATCATGCGCGGCCACCCCGCGATCATTGTCAAGAGGCTTTTGACAGGGACGGCGGGGGTGGTGGCGTATGGGCTGCTGCGCGCAGTCCCACCAGATACAATGATGGGCACTGGTTTTCGACAAGGATTGTGGGGGCCGACATGTTTCCCGATGTGTGCTGTCACGTGCGCAAGCGCACCTGACACACTCTGCACGTGCCCCGAACGTGGCGCACCTGGCGCGGCTGGAATACGCGGCACACCTAGCAAACCAGGCGTGGCGCATCTGGCAAACCAGGCGTGACTGGCACGCTCGGGCCCCAGGGGTGCCTGGCGCGCGTGACACGCCTGGCACGCGTGGCTTAGATGGTTCCGAGAGGACCCTCAGCAGCCCAAAACGGCCTCCAAGATCGCTCAAAGTAGCCGAAGATGGCTCCAGATAGCCTCCGACATACCCCCAAGAGGATCCAAGACAGCCCCAAGAGGATTCCAAGTGCCCTTCGAGCCTCGTAGGCACCCTCCCAAAGTCAAAACACGTCAAGGAACATCAATATTGTCTGCCGTCTTGCTTTTTCGCTTCCGATGGGCCTCTGAGACCTCAGGATGGCCCCAAGATAGCCCAAGAGAGCCCCAAGAGGGGTTCAAGAGGAAGGCAGCCCAAACAGCGCCCAAGAAACGCCCACGAGCGACCCAAGAAGGCCCCAACAGACGATTCCTGTTGAGCCTCCGAGGGGGGGAAGCCTAAATTAATCACCCCCCTTTCTCGAGCCATCGGGGCCAAGACGGCCCCAAGAGACGTCCCAGACCTGAGTTTCGCATAGTCTTTGCAGGGTCTTTGCAGAGGGGGGGGGGCCTAAAGGGCCCCAAGAGGGCTCCAAAGCGGCCCCAAAAGACCTCCCCGACCACCCGCAAAGGGCCCCAAGAGGGTCCCAAGAAGGCCCGTATACGGCCAAACCGGCTCCAGATCGACCTTTTCAACCTACTAGGTCGGCTGGTCAATCGACCTGGTGGTGCAGGAGCCCCTCCCCGAGGACAAAAAAACGCCTCCACCGAGGATGGGTCTACATTTAGGACCCCCCCTCGTTGAGCCATAGGGTATGTCTACGGTCAGAACGCAATATCAATAATGCACGTCGGGATTACCAAGTGCACTCTAAACGGCCAAGTGTTCAGAGTGCGCGTCGCAAAGAGATGCACTCTACACGCGGTCGTTCAAAGTTTAGCGTGCACTTCCGAATTCTCAGGATGTGTAGCATGCACGTCCGAATTCTCAGACAAAAAATGTTTCGAGCGCACTTCTGTTTTCATAAGGTCGATATGGCTCAGCAGCTCCTGGGGTTACACTCAGCCTAATGGCCACCGCAGGCCCGAGCCACCTCCTCCTCCTCCTCCTCCTCCTCCTCCTCCTCCTCCTCCTCCTCCTCCTCCTCCTCCCCATCCCCCTATCACTTTTCCACCTTTCTACTCCCAAGATGATTACGGTAGAAGGCCCCTCGTAGCAAGGAAACATGTGTCACGTCGCTTCCACGGCGGCCCGATCTACTGCATGCTTCTACGCTGCCCTCATTCTGGCAACTCCCCTGGCAATTGTACTTGGATGGGCTGGTAGGGATATATTTTTTTTGGTCGCGGCCACGAGACGACGGTCAGGCGGCGAGGGCAACGTCCGGGCCACGGGCGAGGCTAATTGCTAAGCAGAGGCGCCGGCCGGCCCACTCAGACGGCGGCTGCAGGCTGGGTGACGCTGAACTGGCTGGCGTACTGCAAGCTCGGGCACGTGCACTGGACAAAATGACCAGAATTCAAGTGGCCATCGCAGGAGTCGCGCAGGACCCGCGGACCTCGATGGGCAGGAAGTGAGTCGCCGATGAGGCGCCAGACTCCAAACGGAGGTAGGGATAATTACGCGAAGCGTCGAAAATTTCGAATGAATCCAGCCGTGGCGACGAGGGCTCTCAGGACGAGCAGCGGTATCGGTACCTTGTGCTCGCCTGACATTCGCTCCCCGCCCACAGCCGCGGCCGCGGGAGGTGCCCAGGGGCCGCAGAAGAGGGGACGGGAGGGCCTCCCCTCCGCGGCCAGGCGGAGCAGCGGCGAGGAGCAGATGCCGCGGTGCAGCTTGATGCCAGCTGGCGCAGAGGTGCCGGCGGGTTCTCATGCCTTTTCCCTCCCTCCCGCCTTTCCGCCTCTCATTCTCCACCGTCTCTGCTTCTCCGCCCTCTCTCCTTTTCCTCCATCCCTCCATTCCTCCCCCCCTTCTCTCTCATCCCTCTTTCTCCTCCCTCGTTCCTCCATCCATCCTCCCTTCCTCCTACCTCCTTCCCCTCGTTCCTCCCTTCTGCTCCCTGCTCCCTCCTCCCTTCCATCCCCCCTCCTCCCTCCACCCTCCTCCGTCCCTCCTCCATCCTCCATATTTCCTCCCTCTCCCATCCATCATCCTCTTCCTCCATCATCCCTTCCTCCTTCTGCGTTTTCTTGTTCCTCCTCCATCTGTCCGTTCAGCCTCCTCCGCGGGCGTGGGGACGCAGCTTAGCAGCCGCAGAAATAGTGAAGAGCCCGGGGGGGCGGGGACAAGGGGGCGGGCGGAGGCCGGGCGTAGGGTGGCGGCAGCAGCTGCTGAGAGGACCGTCGACAAGGGGTGCGTGGGGACGGGGGCCACGGGGCGGACTGGGGGCGGCCGAGGGGGACCAGCGACGAGTCGCAGAGGAAGAGGAGAACGCAGCTAACAGCCGCGGAATGAGTGTCATAAGCCGAGGGGAACGTGGGGGGCGGAGGACAGGGGGCGGACAGGGGGGGGGTAGCCAGGCGGTGGGGGCCGCACCCAGCAGAGGGGGCCGAGGGGCGAGGGGACGGGGGCGTTTGAACGAGGGGGGACGGACCGTGGGGACGGGGGCAGCAGGGGGCGGGCGGAGGGCGGGCGTGGGGAAGCAGCTAACAGCCGCGGTCGGACTGAAGTACCGGGGATGGTGGCCCGCAACTGGCAGGGCCCGTGGTGGGTGTGAGCCGCCAAGGCAAGTAGTCTGCAGAGCGGTGATCGGGCCATCGTTGCCGGGTGGGCGATGAGAGCCAAGCACCGTCGTGCAGGGCAGCGCTGGGCTGCAAGTGGCGCCACAGGGGCTCTAGCAGTATAAGAGGCCCGCCCAGAAGGGGGCCAACCCCCGGGCTCGTCTCAGGCGTGTCAGGGGGGGCGGCAGTCATCCAGGGGGGGAAGGGCCGCAAAGTGAGGTCCCAGAAGGCACTCTAGGGTGCCTGGGACGAGCCAACAGCCCCAGCTTGGCGCGCCCGAGGCGGTACTAGGCGCACAACAGGGGTACTGCGCTGGAGAAGCCAACCAAGCCCGCCTGGTCGGGGGGGGATGGGGCTCGGTGAGATACACTGATGTACAGTAAAGGACGTCCATGGCCAGGAGAGCACTCGTGGCGTGCCTGCGCCCGTGGGGCTTGGACTGGGACTTCGGAGTACACCCAGGGCTGGCGCGAGCTCGCGGACCGCCGGGGTTCCACCGTTCTCGTCCAGCTGGAGTCGATGCCCCCCCAGGGTCCCTTGCCTTTGGCCTTGCCTGGGGTGCCCTTGCCCCTGATCCTATCATTGAACCGAGTACGGACCGCAGCCCAGTTGACGCCCAGTCGAAGCGAATCGCCCATCTTCATTGCATGGATTCGGGCTCCTGCTTCGTGGGATCGGCACAGATGTGGCCAGACTGGGTGGGGTTCCTGGTCGTCCACTGGTGCCATATCCCGTTGAAGTACTCCCCGAGGTCCCTCTGGAGCCGCTTCACGGTCTCGGCCAGAATCTCACCAGGGAGATTGGCGAGATCGATCCGCTCCAGAGGAGTCATGTAGACGTAGAGGCCAGTGAGTGGGCCACTTAGGCTTTTGCACACGCTCAGGCGCCGCACGCAAGCACAGTCCCGCTCGTGCATCTACAACCCCGCAGCTGCGCTGGGGACCCAGGCCGGATTGCACCGGTGCAATCGCGGGGATTTCACGGCTGAGGGTCGAGGAGGCGAGAAGAGGAGCAACATGAGGAGGAAGAGGAGGGAGGGGAGAGACATCGCAGACACTCGCGGCCTCAGGGCCTGCTGTGCCCCTCGCCAGCGGTGTCCGGCGGCACTTCAACCGCGGCGCCACGGCAATCAAATCTTCGCTGCTGCGCCTGACCCCAGGCAAACTGGAGGAGGAGGAGGAGGAGGAAGAGCAACAACAACAGGAGGAGGGGAGGAGGGAGAAAAACTCAATCACTCGCGGCCTCCGGGCATGCTGCATCCCTCGCCACCGGTAACCAGCGGCTCCCGAGCCACGGCGCCACGGCAAACAATCCATCGCAGCAGTGCCTGAATCCAGGCATCACGGCCCAGACGTCGCCGACATCTCGCGGCGGCCCACAAGTGTGAGACGCTGCTGGAGGTGAGACCGCTGCTGGTATCCCGACGTGGCAACGAGGAGCACCGCGCGGGAAGAGGCAAGAAGGGCCAAATGGTTTTTCGGGCCGACGTCCAGCTGCCGAACAGCCACAAGAAGAGGTCAGGGAAGGCCATGTGGAGAAAAACGGGGCGCGGCCATTTGAAAGAAACTTTTTGTCACCACTGTGGGGGGCGACATCCCACAGCGTGCCAGCGACAAGCCACACCCCGAAAAAAAGAGGCAAACAAGCGCAGCGAACATGTCCAAGAGACGGGAAAACGTCAGCGCGAAACGGTTGCATTTGAACCGCAGTATATTCCTCACCTGCAGCTGGAGACTATAAGAACATGAGGTATGATTAGCGTCTGGTTCGGAGCTGGCTCAAGACAAGAACGATAAATTGGCTGAAGCGTGTGTGGCGGCATCCGGGTTGCACGCGCACGCTAACTAGCCAATGGATCCAGGATGCCAGAAGAGGAGGAGGAGGAGGAGGAGGAGGAGGAGGAGGAGGAGGAGGAGGAGGAGAGGCAGGCATCGATCAGAGCGCCTATGCATTCACTGCTCCAGCTGGCCTGGCCCCCCGGCCTCGGGCGGCAGGCGAAAAATCGACAGGGGGGAGAGACGACCGACCACGGCGACGACGCGGGGGGGACCCCAGGACCCGAGGCGGGGGAGGAGAAAGGAGAGGAGGAGGAGGAGGAGGCCCCTCACCCAGGGCCGGCCCAGCCAGCCTGGCCTCGGCACGGGTCGGCCGGAGCGCAGCAAAGCCCTCCGCGGCCGTCAGGGCAAAGGTTGCACCGAGTTCTGAGGCGCCCGCGCACTGAGCACTGGCAGCGCTCCTCGCCTCCAGGCCGGGGCGCGCTGGCAGACTGCCGCCGCACTGCGCCAGGGGCCAGCTCCGCGCTGCGATCACGAGAGACGAGCGGCGCACCGCCAGGATCGACAGAGCGAAGTCGTGGTCGCCACTGCCGAGAACTCTGCATTGGCGCGCTGTGGCCCGGCGCTGCCCGCGGCGGCGCTGGACCTCTGGCGGGGGGTCTCCTCGCCGAGCGGCCGCGCCTCAGAGGTGGAGTCGGCTAGGCCGTGGCCGCCACGATCAGTTTCTGATTGGCCTCCTCCAGCGCCTGCTGGAGACCACCGGGATCAGAGATCATGACGGCGACCTGCTGGGTCAGGGCGTCGACGTCAACGGCCGTGGGCGCCCACTCAACAGCGGCGTCCGGAGGATCGCAAATTCATCTCACCATGGTGTCGGAGCAGCCTGCCGGCGGGACTCGATCATGAGAAACATGCCAGTCGTGCGTCGGGTGCCCGCTCAGATCCACGATCGCCCAGCAGAAGGAGAGGGCATCGTCGGTGGCGGTGCATGGGATGTGCTCACAGCACCCAGGAACACGCCGAATGATGCAGCACTCGCCCCACGCCTCCGCGGCTGGAGAAGAGCGCGCGCAAAAAAAACAAACATCGTTCGATCGCTACCAGCTGGTAATGCTCATGTCCGCGAGGGCTCTGCGGGAGAGGAGTAAAATCAACGCTGGAAGCCCATGTGATTCCAGGGAGCCGCCGCGATGGCGCACCTGGGTGGACGGACAGGCGCGCCGCAGCGCTCGCGGTGCGAGGCCCACTGCGACTCACGCTCCCGGCACGCGATCTGCACGCCCCCGCCCGCGGAGTCTGCGGCGGGGACGCCAGGGGCTGGAGCAGATGCACTGCCCGAGTCCTCGCGCCCTCACAATCCGATCCAGTCGCAGCGCACGTGGCCGAGCCGCCCTCATTTCTACGCGCCTGCACCGCGGCCTGGACCGCGCGGCTGAGATGCTGCAGGTTGCCCCCCCCCTATGCCGATGAAGCGCCCGACGTCGCGCGGCGCGATGTGCAGCTCGACGGAGGGACCGCCCCAACCCGCTCGATGTACGTCAGGATTGGTCTCAGCCTGCGCGGGCGCACTGCTCTTGCTCCGCTGCGCTCACAGGAGCTCCAAGGACGGACTCCTTTGCAGCTTCCGCCGATGTTGCTCGTCTAGCTCTTGTCCAGTCTGTTGGGCCTGCTGGAGCCGGCGATTCTGCTGCAGCGCCCGTCTGAGCCGGCCCGTGGTGGGCTCCTCGCTGAGCCCTCTGCCAGGCACGCCGGCAAGAGACGCCGAGGGCCGCATGAACGCGGCATGCACTTCGGGTGCCCTGGTCCACGCAGCTGGCATCGTGGTGGCGATCGTGGGGCGCATTGCTAGCTCGACCTCCCTGGACATGAGGACCCCTGGCACCCATCCAAGGCCACGGGCGTGGATACCACGAGGCAGCATTGCCTGCCAGTACCCGGCAGCGTTGCCAAAGCGGACCTCTCGGTCATTTATCTGGGCCCCGGTGATGTCTAGCTCCGTCGCCCAGGACACACCACGCAAGTCCTCCACGCACTCGTACAAGCAATCGATGCAATTCGCCTGCAGCGTCGTCTGGAGCTGCCCCAGGGCCTCGTGACTAGCAGCGTGACTGGCGATGAGCATAACTCCCCGAAGGCTTGGCAGGTCTGCGAGAAAAGCCGCAAAGCGATGAAGATTCTGACAATGGACCTCTGTGGCTAAGTAAGGTTCGATCAGAACGCAAGAGTCAGCAACGATGCCTCTCGCCAAGTGCCCGAAAATAGATTCGCACGCGTAACCTGCCGCACCGCGGGGGAGTCGAATGATCACGTGCTCCCGCTTAGGGACCATGATTGTGGATGGGCCGCCGTTGCTCTTCTCCAACTGCGGCGTGTCCTGGCAGCGCTCCTCCGCGAGGTCCGCGCTGCCGTTCTCGATCTCTCCAGCCGTAGGTCGAAGCTCTTCCAGCACTGCATCGCCAGGGTCGCGAGGAACGGCCGCGCCTTCGTCGCGCTCAGCCTGCTGGCCCAAGCCTGGGGGAGCATCAGCAGCCTGCGGACGCGACCATGTCCAGCACCACCCACACTGAGAAGCACGGGCAGCCATTGGCACGCCGCAGCAAGGGCAACCACGGCACCCATGCAGCCCCCCACGCCGGAGGTTCAGCGTGCACCCGAGCATGGCGGAGGCCGAGCTCAAGTGTATGACAGCGGCCTCGCGCCTAGCCTCGAGCGCCGCCACGCGCTCGGCCCGTGCCCCACCGTGGCGGTCAGCGGCAGGGCAAGACTGACCATGCTCACCTCCTTCGCCCACGACGGGAAGAGGCTCCGGAGACGCTCCTCCGCGGCCATCGTCAGCAAGACGGCACCCCCGAGGATCAATTTTCCGCCCCCTAGAAGCACCGTCTTCTCGGCGAGGCACGTCTCCATGGCGCTCGGCAGCAGGACAAACCTCAGCCCACCGACTAATCGCAGCCGTGGCACGCACGCTGCCGTCGACGCCGCGCCGAGACTTTCTCCTGGCGCTGCGCCGGCGAGGCGCCCTCTGGCCACCGGCCTCCCCGCGGCGGCGGCGGGCCGGCGGCCTCCGCAGACGGCCGGCCGGCAGCGGCCTGCCAGGCGGCCCTCGGTCGTGCCGCCGCACTGCTGGAGGAAGCTGCGGCCTCCGCCCAAGGGTCGAAGGCTTGCCATCGGTGCCGCGGCTCTTGCCAGCCGGCCTGCCAACGCGCGGCAGAGGCGGGCGCCCCTCGCGCGCGCCGTCCACCTGCAGCCACACCAGGTAGAGATCTGGGTGGTGGAGGAGGGAGAACAAGAAGATGGGGCAAGGAGGCCCCCTGGCGGCCGGCGGCTTTATTCAGAGCGGCTTGAGCCAGAGGGCTACGGACCTCTGGCGGGGTCACGCGAAGCTCGAATAATTTTCGGTTCTGGAAGATTTGGAAGTGAGGGTGAATTCGGCGAATTCGGAAGGTCTGGGCAAGCTCTGGATTGGAGGGGGTGCGAAGGAGCTAGCAGCATTACGTATTCCAACGAGTTCTACAGTTACCCAGGTTCGCTATGTTTAAGGAAGATCTTAAGAATCTCAGAACATCGTGGAGCCTCCTAGAACGCCCTCGCGGGTACCGCGTGGGAACGCCGGCGATTTCAAAAACAGGGTGGCGCACTAAGATGTGGGATCATTGGCCGCCCGTTGTGGCGTGGCCAAAGCTGCACTTCACATACCCCAGAAGAAACCCACGTCTCGCCTCCAGGGACCACGTATGCCAAGAATACCCCACACCACGCAACTAGAGAGGCCACGCGAGACCGCCCGCATCAATTGATGCACAATGCCTTACGAAAGTGTACGCTCATCGGCTGCACAAAATGGCGACAGTACCACGCTTCTGACTCAGGCCACTCCAGAAATATCAAGAATACCCGGTTCGCTTCACCTCCAGAAGCCACACAGCCCAAATAGGAGCTCCCTGTCTCGATCGCTATGAGTACCTATTCGATGCAGTTTCACAGCCATCGCAGTTCAAGACGGCTCCAAAATGGCCCTAAGAGGGGCGCAAGAGGACATCCAGAAATCCTTTGGAAAGGTCTCCAAGCAGCCGCTGAAAGCCCCAGGATAGTCCAAGGGGCCCCAAAAGATCCCAAAAGAGCCACAGGAGAACACCACGAAGACAATGCGGAGGACCTCAGATGGGCCCTGAAGAGACAGAGAGCATCCGAGGTCCAGGGAGCCTCACGGCATCCACGGCCACTGCAGGGTCCCAAAAGGATATCAATGGGTCCCAAACAGAATCTCAAGAAGACCACAAGGAACTCGGTGAATGTGCCATGATGCCCCCCATTGCAGGCCACGCTGGAGTCATTGCCCGATCCTGAGACTGCCCAGAAAGATGCCCTCCTCCTCGCCCACCCACACACACTCTCCATTTCCGCCCAATGGCGTCCCTCCTCACCTCCCTGTTCTCCTTCCTGGCTCCTCCTCCTCCCCCTCCTCCTCCTCGCCCACCTCCTCCTTCTCCTCCATGTTCTCCTCCTCATAGTTGTCCTCCTCCTTCCTCCTACCTCCTTCTTCCTCGTTCCTCCCTTCTGCTCCCTGCTCCCTCCTCGCTCCTCCATCCCTTCCTCCATCGCCCCTCCTCCTCCTCCCCCCCCTCCTCCTCCTCCTCCTCCTCCTGCGCTCGCACCACGGCGGACAGCTCCCTCATCCTCTGCTACTACTACTACTACTACAGCAGTTGCGGGGCGGGCCTCGCCCGCTTCGTAGAAGGCCACGAACGGCATAATCAGGCGGATGAGAAGGGGGGAGCACAGCGGCGGCAGACGCGGGAGCCTCAGGGGATGGGACGGACAGGAGCGGGGGGAAGGCCAAAAGGATGGGCCCCCTGATGGCTGGATACGTGGGCGCCCCAGGATCGGAACGCAGACGCACGGAGCTGAGGCAAAATCGCTGCCAGATCGCTGACTGAGAGGGGAAGCGGGTAGTTCCGAGCCAGGGCGCACAAGTAAAAAGAGGCAACTAGATACACGAAGTTGGAGGGGGAGGGGGAGCTCAGACCCAGACGAGAGAGAATGTCTTCGGGGGGCGGGTGGCTAGTTAATTCCCCTACTGTGGAAATCTTAACAGGACATATTATATAATGAGCCTGGCAGTCACTACTGGCGCATCCGAATACACAACTTTTCTGCTTCTGCTGGAACCTAGAATCTGTAGTCCAGCCGCCAACCAGAGTCTTGATTATGGCCATGCGCCACGGCGACGGTGCGGCACATGCCGCCGCTTGCACATCTGGCCACCGAATGCGTTGGATCGCAGCGAGCTCGAGCTGTGGAAGGAGGTGGGAGAGGCGGCAGGCGAAAGTCGAGGAGAGGTCAGAGGGGAAAAGGGAGGAGGTCAAAACAGCGGCTGCAGCGCGCTGAATCTTCTTTCCCTCGAGCATGGCCTGCTGCGCGGCTTGGAGCGCAGCTGATCCAGCATTCCTGCATTTGGTGGCGGGAAAACCTTGCGACGCCGCTTGCAGGTGTTGAACGAATGGAGGCTCCTCCCAAAATTCGGGAGACATGCGGCCCTTTCCAATGTCTTCGAGCGAAGGATGGACTCCTGCCTCCTGGAGTCTGTCAAACTGCTGCCGCCATGCATTGAACGTGCTTAAAGACGCTCGAATAAGCGACGCCAAGGAAACAGCTAGAGCACTCCTGATGCGGGGGCCCCCCCAGGAGTCGAGATTCAAGTAGTCACGCCTCGGGAGGGCGCAGTGGGGAAGCTTAAAGAGGGCCGCCAGCCTCGCGTGCTCTTTTGCAATCACTGAATGAGGAAGCGGAGCGAACTGAGCGACGTACCCCAAACAGCCGAGAGCACGAGATGAGTATCGAAAAACGGCAACGGCCGATGGAGCGCCGCTGTAAGTTATGGCCGAACAACGTTGAGCCCATTTCGCCACAGGGGCGCCCCACGGAGACGGGGCCGCCGATGGGCCCATGAAATTCCCGAGGCACAGAAGCCGAGGGACCACCTGGAACTCCGCCCAGTCGGGCACATGAACCTGGAGCGCGGTACCGTCTGGCCAAGGGCTCTGAAAAGGGGCCAGCTAGCGGAACTATCTTACATTTCTTGTGCTTAAGCTCAAAGTTAGCCACCCGCCTTGACGCCCGAAAGACTGTGTACAGTTGCCTCAAAACCTTAATTTGATGTATGACACTTCCTACATCGTCGGCGCATAGTCTACTCATACCTAGTCCTCGTTTCTCGATCAGCGAATCGAAGTGCTCGACGAACGGGTGGCTCGCTATTGCATAGAGACATCCGCTGGCTGGGCACCCTTGGACGATGCCCGACAGCATTGTGCACATGTAACGGCATTCGCTCCCGATCCTCCCGTAGCAGAGCACGAACTGGTAGATCATTTCCAAGAAGAGACGAAGCGGGGCGGGGATGTTGAGCGATTTGAGGGTGAGGAAGATCCAAAACTGGGAGATCGATGGGAACGCTTGTCCGTAGTCGAACGATACCAGGGCGGGTAACCTGTCGTTCGCGTCTGGCAGCATCGAAGTGATCCGAGCTTGCGTGTCCAATTCGATGATGTTCATCCCGAAATTCCTCGCGGGGGCGAAGCCCCGCTGGGCCTTAGCGATGAAGTCGGGCAGGGACCGACTCAGGGGTCTCACACAAACCGCCGTCAAGATCTTACAATCAGTGTTTTTCAAACCGAGAGGCCGGGTGGCCGAAACATCTCGGATCACTGCATCCTCGTCGCCAGGCTCGTCGCCCTTGGCCAGGAACGCCCCCAGCATCGTATTGAAGCCGAAGATAAGAGGTTTGCCATCCAAAAGCCCAGGAGAGCGCATCATACAAAACGTTGGTTCCTTTGGGGTAGGAACGCCATGCGATGTACGGAAGTTGATCGGGTCCTGGAGCGCTCGGGGTAACGTTTTCCAGGAAGCGGGTTATGTCACGTTCAGTATGAGGTGGCAAACCTGACAGGTCAACAGCTGGCTTAAACCGATTGATGCACTGGAAGGCGGCGGCACGGTCTACATCTTTCTCGGAGAAAACCTGGCCCCAATAGTCGGAGAGGCTAGAGAGCATTCCAGCAGGGTCAGCTCGGACTCTATTGTGGGGGCCCGGATGTCCTCGGTCTTGATGAGGAAGTGGGTCTCGGATTCCTTGCAGGGGCAGCTTTCGACCAAATGGGGCCCACAGACGAGAACGGGCAATGAGGCTGCGGAGGCGCTTCTTGAGCTTGGTCCTAACGGTCCCTGGGTTGTCCTGCTGGAGCCTCTGCCTTGTCTCCGACTGGGCTCTAGAGAACATAGCGGCGTGGATCTCTGCGGCCAACACCGCGAAGTTGGCAGGGTCATTGATCGAGACCTGCGCGGTCAGCGGATCGACGACCAGAAACAGCGCGCCTAACGGGTGAGACGCCATAATCTTCTGGGCCAGCAACACGTTCTGCCCCCATACAGCTCGAGCGATGGTGCGAACGGCGATGTATCTCGAGAGGGGCTCGCGATGTCGAAATCGGAGGAGTCGATCGCGAGTGCGCCGAGCAGCTTCGATCATGATTTCCTTGTGGAAGGCGAGGCGGAGGGGAGGAGACAACTCGGAGTCGTCGACCTGTTCGAGAACGTTATGGATGAATTTATGGTACTCATGTCTCCGAAAGATGTCCTGGTGGATGGGCTGCTCTCCTGGCGGCTTCGACGATCGAGCGGAAAAGGTAGCGGAGACGGCAGCATGATCTGAGATGCGCGCGCGGCTGAGCACCTCAGGGTAGCCGCGCACCCTGCCGCCAGTGCACCACTGAGTAAGGCTCCACCCCGGCGCAGACACATAAATCCAATCCAATTTCTGCAGGGCCCCCCTGCGCGGCGCAGTGATGAGTAGGTTCCTGAAGTTGGATCTCCGTCATCTGTCCCAAGATACGATTCCAAGCCAGACCGTCCGAACCCAGACGTCCGCTCCCAGTCCCTCGCTGAGAAGGGCCCATAGAAGGCTCCACAGGAACCGAGCAACCAGAAGGATCCAAATTTTCGAAGCAATCGAGCGCCACAAAGGAGTCCTCAGAGAAGTTGAAGTCCCCGCCAACGATGACGAAGGTTTTGAGGGGGTCCGCGGGGGCCAGGGAGAGGTCGGAGGCGATGGCATCTAGGATCTCGGCGCGCTGCTGAGACGACAGACCGCGGCCATGAATGTTGAAGTGCGAGATGAGGACCCCGCTAGGAAACAAAACTCGAACATTCAAAGCACGTCCCTGGATCAAACTTCGTTCCGAAATAGAAGGCCTGTCGTCTGCAGCATGCGTGATATCAAAACCGGGAATGCATGCGATCACCCCTCCCGCGGCATGCGGCGAGGCTGGCAGAAACGAGTAGTAAGCCTGAGTAGGGAGGTGGGTGTGGTAGAGCAGGTCCCTGAGCTCATTCAAGGCCCCATGAGATTCCTGGATCCCGAGAATCCAACCTTTGCCCAGAAGTTTCTTCATGTAATTGATCTTCCTGGCCCGAACACGGTATTTATGATGGAATAAGGCTTGCCCATTCCACGTCCCCACAGAGACCGGAGTAGGAGAGGAAGAACGTCCGCACCACGCGGCTAGAATCGGGTTAAACACGCCACTGAACGGGTTCTGCAGGCGGGGCGAGCAGCTTGAACTTGGCGCGGATCTGGTCGGCGCTGAAGCCGAACTGAGCCAGGTTGGCGCGGACGAATTCGAGAGTCGGTTCGGAGCCCTGACCTGGCTGAGGAGTGGCGCGAACCAGCGGCTTCCACTGCGTGGAAATCTCGCCGCCATCACGGTTGCCGTGGAAATGGTGGGTCGGGTAGAGCTCCGAGAGCGTCGCCTTGAGCTTCTTCGTGGGGAGCTCCGTCTGCACCTGCTTCTGGGACTTGTCCGTGGAAATGTACACCTCAGTTGCCGCACCCGTGGTGTCGGCCGTGGAGAAGCGCTGCCATTGGGATGCCGAAATTTTGAAGCTTCCCATGATTTGCCGAACACGTCTGGCGGCCAGCTGGGCATTACCTTTGATCCTGAGGACGAAGCGGCGGGCAGCGGGATCTCCTTCCAGGAGGACATCTGCTGGGTTGATATTGTTTTTTCTCGAGGATGGGCTGCACCACGTCTTTGTCGATATTGGCCTTAGGTAGCATAGTCTTGGCCCGCAGGACAAGCACCGTTGGATCTGGATCTCGGTCGAAGCTGGCGTCTTCCACACGCACAGGTGGCGATTCAGATTGCATGATACCCAGGATCTGCTCGAGCCGTTCGATCTTGTCGGACAGGCGCTGGACGTTGGAGTCGGTCTGCTGCTGGTGCCGCTCGACGTCGGCGAGCCGACGTTCGACTTGCATGCTGAGATCGGTACATGATGTGTGAACCTGCTTTGCGATGTCCCCCATGGATGCTTGGAGTCTGCCGAGGGAGTCCATGATCGAGTCACGGGTGTGGTCCACGTAGTTGCGTATGTCTTCTCCATGCGGGGCACGTTTGTCTTCATCGTGAGGAGAGCGGCTGCGTTCATCAGCAGGAGGAAGGTCACGCCGACGAACAGGAGTGCCCGAGCCGCCTGGGCCATCCTCGGGACCACGTGCAGCTGCACCTCTGCGTTCCTGCGTCGGGAAGGTGGGGGCGAATTCACAAGCCGCCAGCGCCTCGAGGTCGGACCGATTGGGGCGCGCCATCGTCGCCTGTCTACGCTGGTAGACGGCACCCAAACAGTGACTGGTCCGAGAGGTCGCGAAATCGTTGGCCTCCTGAAGGCCGAAATTGTCTCGAGAGCGGCCTACGGACGGGCCGCAAAGCTAATCGTTGATTCTCGGGCGTCTATAGCCCTTCACAACGTTTAGCCTTGAGCCAAAATGGCTACGGGCCCTCCTCCTCCTCCTCCTCCTCCTCCTCCTCCTCCCTCCTCCCTCCTCCCTCCTCCGTCCCTTCTGCATCCTCCATCCTTCCCCCCTCCTCCATCCATCATCCTCCCTCCTGTCTCATCCCTTCCTCTGTCTGCGCTTTCTTGTTCCTCCTCCATATCATGTCATATTCCTCCTCTTCCTCCTCCTCCTCCTTCTCCTCCTCCTCCTCCTCCTCCTCCACCTCGTCGTCGTAGTCGTCGTCGTTGTCATCACCATCCCCCTCGTGAACGGCTTCATCAGCATCATCCTCCTCCTCCTCCTCCTCCTCCTCCTCATCATCATCATCATCATCATCATCGTCATCATCATCATCATCATCCTCCTCCTCCTCATCATCATTATTATCATCATCATCAGCAGCATCATCATCAAATTATCATCCTCATCATCAGCATCATCACCATCACCACCACCATCACAATCATCATCAGCGACAGTAGCATCAGCGTCATCAGCATTATCATCATCAGCAGCAGCATCGTCGTCATAGTCATCATCATCATCACCAGCAGCACCAGGATCATCATCATCATCAACCTCATCGGTACCCTATGATCATCAGCATAGTCATCCGTCATATCATCATCCTGATCATCATCATCATCATCAGCAGCAGCATCAGCATCAGCAGAATCAGCATCATCGTCATCATCAGCATCATTATCATCATAATCGTCATCATCATCACCATCATCATCGGTATCGGCATCATCATCTTCTCCTTCATCATCATCATCAGCATCATCATCATCAGTATCATCATCATCACCAGCACCAGCATCATCATCATCCTCATCATCGTCATGAGCAGCATGAGCACCATCACCATCAACAGCAACAGCATCATCAGCATTGGTCATCAATCGGCATCAGCATCATCACCATCATCACCATCATCAGCAGCATCGGCACCAGCATCAGCATCACCATCATCATCCTCAATATCAGCATGGCAATAGTCATCAGCATAAGCATCATCATCATCGTCAGCATGAGCAGCAGCATCATCATCATCATCATCATCATCATCATCATCATCACCATCATTATCATCATCATCATCATCAACGTCATCGTCATCATCGTCAGCATTGTCATCACCTGCATAATCATCAGCATCGTCGTCCGCATCAGCAGCAACATCAGCAGAATCAGCAGCATTATCAACATCACCATAAACATAACCATAATCATCATCAGCACCATCATCATCAGCATCATCAGCAGCAACATCATCATCATCATCATCATCATCATCATCACCACCATCATCATCATCATCATCATCATCATCATCATCATCACCATCACCATCACCATCACCATCACCATCACCATCACCATCATCATCATCATCATCATCATCATCATCATCATCATCATCATCATCATCATCATCGTTTGCATCTTGCTCAGTATCATCGGCATACGCTTCATATCCGTCATCATCGCCCTCCTCAGCAGCATCGCCATCATCATCGGCAGCAGCATCATCATAATCAGGATCATCAGCATCATCATCTACATCATCATCATCATCATCATCATCATCATCATCATCATCATCATCATCATCATCATCATCATCCACATCATCACCATCATCATCGTCATCAGCATCATCATAATCAACGTTATCAGCATCATCATCAGCAGCATCAACATCATCATCATCATCATCATCACTATCATCAGATTCTCTGCATCATCATATTTACCATCATCGTGTTTATCATCATCATCACCATCATCAGCACCATCGTTGTCGTCAACATCATCATCGTCATCACCAGATTCACTATCATAGTCATCATCATCATCGTCATCATCATCAGCATCATCATCGGCATAAGCAAAATCAGCATCATCATCATCATCATCATCATCATCATCATCGTCGTCACCATCACACTTCTCAACCGCATCATCGATATTAGCAACAGCAGCGTCACAATCAGCATGACCATCAATGAGTATCCTTATCAGCCTCATCGTCATCAGCATCAGCAACATCATCAGCAGCAGCAGCATACGCATCATACGCATCATACGCATCATCATCACCCTCCCCCTCCTCCTCATCATCATATTATTTGCATCCCCTTCCTCATCATCATCGTCCTCATCATCATCATCATCATCATCATCATCATCATCAGCAGCAGCAGCAGCAGCAGCATAGTCATCATCACAATCATCATCATGAGAATTCGCCCGCCCAACGGGCCAGAGGCGTGCTAAGATCTCCAATAACTACTTAACAATATTTCTAGTGCGCGCGCGTGGGGCGGCCCCTGGGGGGCCCCGGACGAACGGTACCCCGGCTGATCCCCGGCCGGGTCCCGGGCGATCCCCAGGGGCACCCCTCACGAGGATCGTGGCCTCCGAGGGGGGGGCTGCAATCGACTGCCCCCCCTCCCGCCCCAAGGGGCCCCCAAGAGCCCCCCAAGAGGCCACAGGGGAGCCCAATACGCCGCCAAGGAGCCCCAAGACGCTCCCAAGAAGCCCCCAAGAAGCCCCCAAGACGACCCCAAGAGGCCCCAAATAGCGCTCCAGGGCCGGCGGAATGAGCGAAGCGATAAATAATTATCATCATCATCAGCATCATCATCATCATCATCATCCGCTTTTCCGCGCCCCTTCTGAGCCATGGCGCGCCATTCAGCTTGCGCGACCAGCTGGACAGGTGGGCGTTTCGGCACCTGCCCCGGCGGGAGCCGTGCCCCTCTTGACGTCAACGGCAACGACAGGACCGAAAACCCACCGAGCCGACAGCGAAGCCAAAGCCGACCGAAACCATAAGCAGAGTGGAGAAACGGCAGCGGCCCAGCGGCCGGCAGAAACGACAGCATGCGGCCAGAAAGGAGGAGTCGAGCCGACCAAACCGCAGACAACCTTGTCCCCCCCTTCCATTCTCTGTTATTCTTCATTATCGGTTAGTGGGTGCCAGTGTGAGCAGCGCACAGGTGGCCGTCTTACGCATGCTGGCAAAATGGCATCACTCCATTGCGTCATGCATGCTGGACCCACCGGATTGGGCTCCCTCTCACCCGCTCATGTGCCGAGACGCCCCGTCCCTCTGCCCTGGAGGAAGTTCTCTGTGCGGGTGATGGCGCGAGCAAGAGCCCAGCCGAAATGGATCCTAACAGATGGCCATGATGCCCAACAACACATGTTGTCCAAAAGCGATGGCTGCCGCTACAGCGAATGTTGTCCAATGGCAGGCGGCCGTCTGCCTCGAATGGACATCGTCCGCGGTGGCACCGACAGCGAGTCTTGCTCAGAATGGACAGGACATGCTGTCGGTCGTGGTACCCACTGTTTCCGTACACATTTCGATCGCACGCGCTAAGATGGATTGGGAATGCGCGGATCTAGCGCGGGGGCGCCTAATCCACAGATCGAAGGAGGTGCCTCCAAGAACAAAAGACCGTGCAACCTCACTTGGCGACGGAGCGCGCCGATTCTGTGAGGAAGCGAAACCCCTAGCCGATCCACGCGCCTCAGTCGGGACTCGCACTTCCTAGATCAATCATCCTTCCCCTCCTCCTCCTCCTCCTCCCCCCCTCCCTCCTCCTCCTCCTTATCCTCCTCCTCCTCATCATCTTATTCCTCCTCATCCTCCTCGTCCTCATCCTCCTCCTCCTCCTCTTCCTCCTGCTCCTCCTGCTCCTCCTCCTCCTCCTCATCATCCTCCTCCTCCTCCCCTTCCTTCTTCCTCCTCCTCTGATCATTATGTTTAGCATTAGTATTATTACTTTTCTTCGTATGATTACTGTTATTATTCATGATACTATTATTCTTAGTATTATCAGAAATATTGTTAGTATTAATATTATTGTTCCTGCTCCTCCTCCACCTCATATGCATCATCATCAGCAGCAGCAGGATCATCATCAACATGACCATCATCATTATCATCAGCTGCAGCAGCGGCAGCATCATCATCAGCAGCATCATCATCAGAATAATCCTCATCAGCATCATCCTCATCATCATCATCATCCTCATCATCCTCATCATCATCATCATCATCAGCAGCATCATCATCATATTCTTCCTCCTTCTCATCCTGATCCTCATCCTCCTCCTCCTCCTTCTCCTCCCTCCTCCTCCTCCTCCCGTTCCTTCCTCGCCCTCCTCCTCCTCCTCCTCCGCCCTCCTCCTCCTCCTCCTTCTCCTCCCTCCTCCTCCATTCCTTTTCCTTATAAGTAACTTCTCCCTGTGGCACCCCGAGACCAGTTTTTAGGGCGGGCCGGGCGTTTCGCCTGAAACTTCCTCACCATCAAAGACTCTGAAGCCTAAAAAATTGCACCAGCTTCACAGATGGAGGGCGGATCGTTTTCAAAATGTGGCTCTCGCCTTGGTGCCCCACTCGTTTTAGAGAACTGCAGGAGCTTCACGGATTGAGGGCGGGTCGTTGTCAAGATGTGGCTCTCGCCTTAGCGCCGCGCACATGCGTTTCAAAATGTGCAAGAGTTTCACAAATTGAAGGTGGGTGTTCAAAATGTGGTTCTCGCCTTAGCACCGCGCAAATTTGTTTCAAAAATCTTCAAAAGCTTCACGGGTTGAGGGCGGGTGGTTTTCAAAATGTGACTCTCGCCTTAGCGCCGCGCATATTCGTTTCAAAAATGCGCAAGAGTTTCACGGATTGCGGGCGGGTGGTTTTCAAAATGTGGCTCTCGCCTTAGCGCCGGGTACATTCGTTACATATATTTGCCAGAGTTTTACGGATTGAGGCTGGATCCTTTTCAAAATGTGGCTCTCGCCTTAGCGCCGAGCACATTCGTTTAAAATGTTGCCAGAGTTTCACGGATTTCCGTGATCAACGTACCAAGTAGCGTTTCGGAAGGATTCAAGATTATGCGTGTGCAACAATGATGTTGGTTCGCGGTGTTGAAGTCCCAAGGATGGCGTTCTGGCACGGCGCAGCTGCTGGAAGGCGCCCCGAGGCGAGAGAACCTGCAAAAGCCTGCGAAAACGTCCTCACCCCACCCCCGTCTTGAGGGGCAACGTTAGGAGGGACCAGCTGAGGGGGAGAAGGCAACGACCTGAAACTCGAATCGGCGACACGTCGCTGATGGATCAGCGATAGGTCCCTGATGACGAGTCCGACCCTTCCTGGGCGAGGTGGGCTGTCGGGCCCCTATCGGCGATGGATGGGCGACTGGGGGTCGCTGCATCCGCCCTAAGCCCATCCCCCACCTAACGGTGCCGCTGACGTGCGCGAGCCCCGCGCGCCCTCCCCCCTCCCCTGCCTCCCCTTGCTCCGCTCCTCCTCCCGCCTGCTCCTCCTTCGACGGCAGGCTGGACAGCTCCAGAGGGTCGGCGGTTCAATCCCGCCCTGCAGAACACTTTAAAACACGATGCTCATACTAGCGTGGCTTCCTTTGTCTTCTATTTCGCTTTGAGTTTTAAGCTCCCCGACCAAAAACGGACGTGCTCGGGCCGATCCCGAGCCTCGGCCGAAGGGCCGCCTCGCCTCTCTCTGTGCCACGCTGCCCGCTCCCGCGCTTCCCTGCTCGGGGCAGCTCGCCCAGCGATCGCTTCTGGATGCCACGAGAGGCGAACCCATCCGCATCAGCGCCGTCGCGGTCTGGACTCCGGGGCGCGATCCTCGGGAGCGGCCAAGAGGGGGGTGTCCAAGAGGGGCGGGTACAAATCATGACCGGCGGCATGTGCGTGGCACAGCGGGGGGGCCAGGGACGTGATGAAACAAGAAGCGTGGGGAAATACCATGGCCCACGCCATGATATCCACCCCCCCCTAGCCATCACCCCCCTCTCTGCCGCCCCCGAGATCCCCCCGGATGCGCGGTCGCACGGACACACACGTTCCGCGCGGGGCATCCGCGAAGAAGCGCCCCATGCCCGCGGGGTCGCCGCCCAGGCGCCCGGCCCGCGAGGCCGCGGATGCAGATGTGCAGCGCGTCGGGCGATCGCTTCTGGATGGGCCGGCGGGGACGCGCGGAGCGCCGAGAACGAGCTCCCGTGGCAGCCAAGGCCCAAGCCTGCCTGTCTGGCTGTGGGACCCCTGAGATCCGACGGTGCGGAGAAACCAGGACAACACTCAAAAATCAAGAGCGAAGCCCTGGCCCTAGCCGCCATCTTTTTGCAGCATTCTTCGAGCGGGATCGATCTGTGGTCCTGGGGCCCGGAACCCAGCGAAAACGCCCGCTAGATCCTGCTCCGGATCCTCCTCATACACGCTATTGTTCGTTAGCCACGTAGCGCACTCGAGATCGCCCCCTGGCCGTTTTGAGAACAACTGCAACGCCAGGATCTCCAAAGCACCCTCGTCCTATCAAAGGGTCTGCCCATATTGTACCAGAATTGCTGGGTCGTGGGAAAGACCAAGAGGCTGTCTGACCATATGGCCCTGCGCACCCAGCCCGTGTTTCCACTATGATTGCGCTGTGAATCAAGGAACAAAGCGCTGCAACTTTCGGAGCTCAGCGCGGACCCCCCCCTCCCTACCCAGCGCAGATCCAAGAAATCCGCGCGCAGCTCTGAAACTTCATGCTCACGCCGCTCTCTTTCATCGAAAGGAGGAAGGCCGCACTGATCCCGCCAGGCGGGTCGGGGGCAAAAGAGCTGTCAACACTGTCGCCGAGTTTCTGCCATACCTGTGACGCGTCAGGCCGAACCAAGAGGAGCCCCCTTCGGCGCCGAGGCTCTGACCGTGCCCAGCCGAGCCGATCCGCTCCCCCCCTCCGAGTGCCCCGAAGCAGACAGGGGGGGAGAGGGAGGAGCGGGGGGCGGGCGCATCACGGCCTGAGGCATGTGCGCGGACGACGGGGGGTCAGGGAACGCACCGCAGACCAGCGCGCTCCGCTACTCGCAGAATGAATACTCACAAAAATGGCCGGGATCCACCGCGGAGAATCCACGATCCATGACACCGAGGCAGACGTACGGTTTTCCGGACGTCTGCGAGTGGGCACTTCGCGAGTGGTGGAAGGCACTCGGTGCCTCCAGGTGCACAAGAGGCAGGAGACGAGAGACAGGACGAGACGAGACCACCCGCATGAAGCACCCACGCGGGCGCAGAAGCAGCAGCGCGGGCGCACGAAGCACCTACGCCCTGCGCGAAGAGGAGGGGACCGTGGGAGCTGCGCTGCTCTCGGCTGTGCCGACGCCGCTTGGGCAGGCCCACGACGGCTTGGCACCGCCGCAATCGCCACCGGCGTCGACCGCATGGCAGACCCAAGCCCACGGTCGTGGAGTCCAGTGGCCCGCAAGGCACCTCCACGTCTCCTGGGCTTCTCGGGCCAGGCAAAAGGGGGGGATAGCAAAGGAAGGGGTTGAGAATCAGCTCGCGTAGCTGATTCTCCAGGCGCCTCCCGGCGCCAGGAGGCGCCCATGCATCGAGGAGTGGGCCCCTCGGTGGGGCCGAAACCAGCTGCATGCAGCAGATTTCGTAACCCCCCCTTTCCCAATCCCCCCCTTTCGTCCGGCCCGAGCTTCTGCTCACGGCGTCTTCACCGTATTTATCCTCCGACACCACTCACTCCAGCCCCACTCACTCCGACCCCACTCACCGCATTTCATCCTCCGACCCCACTCGCTCCGGCCCCATCCGGGAGGGCTGGACATGTGGACGCCAACACGTCGCCCAAGATGGCAGGCAAGGCAAGAGAGAGGCTGGACTTGCCCCAGCCCTGCCCCGGTGCACATGGCCCAGCGAGCGCAGGAGGCGAAGGTCATCTCGGCCAGCCCAGCACTATCGCAGGCAGGCGGCACCTGCCCCAGACTCTCGAGGCCGTCGGCGCGTCAAAAGACGGAGAATGCTGACGCTGCCGACGAGGAAGACCATCCGGCAGTTCCGATCCGATCAGAATAGTCAACACGCATAGTAAGAGTGAGCAACTTCCCCAGGTGACCCTTGCAGCCTTCTCCTTCGGCCCATCCTTGGCCGCTTTCGTTGGCCGCGTTCCGCTCGCAGAGTGTCGAAATGGCCTTCCACGGCCCCTGTATCCTTATCGTGCGTCATTTATTTATACACAGATATATACGTATTGACTGTAGTCGCTCGTGTTCTTCTTGATCACTGTCCCCTCTTCCAGAGAGTGGGAGAGGGCTGGGGACGGAGCCAGGGAGCGCGGGAAGATCTCGATCTGCTCTGAAGCCGAGACGGCGGGCCCGCCCCGCCCCTGCTGCTGCTTGCTGGCACGCCTCGGTCCCTTCCTTCAGCTGCTGGGCACAGGCCAGACAGACGAGGAGAAGATAGACGCGAAGCCTACACCGTTTTTCGTCAGCATCGGGCCCATCCACGCCAGCGCGGTGGCCATCTTCGCACTCACCATCCACGCTCCCCTAGCCAGAGACATCGTCGCTTACTATCATCATTGACGCCATCATCATAGCCACCATCGCCATCACCGTGGTCATCGCCTTCGTCACAGTCGTCGTCCTTGGCATCATCGTCATCAGAACGACCTCCACCATGTCATATCGATGCTCGTCAGATGTTCGAACCTCCACAGAAAGTCTGCCTGCCACTGAACTCCTGACTGTGGTGGTGCCGTCGCGTTACGCCAGATTACGGACGTATTGCAAGGACGTTCGTTCGCCGAGCCCTGAACGCTTGTGCAAGCTCAGGTGGGCATATGTAGCGATATTGATGCTGTTTCCCTTCAACATCAGAGCCAAAGGACCTGCGGTGCTTGCTCTCTCCATGCCGTGCCATGCTATATCCTGCAGAGGGGGGTCTCCGACCCCAGCAAATACAATCTCCTACACGCCCCCTTGGAAGCTCGGCGCACACTCCGAGTCGAGCTTTCAACCGACTCCCGAAAACTTTGTCTGGCTGGGGCGTCCCCCAGGATGACAGGCTGGGGCGTCCCCCAGGCTGAATAACTACGCAACCGAAGCACTATCCTGCATCGAACTCAAACGTCACTAGCTGGCTTGCTTGACTGGCTCGGCTTCCAAGGGGAAAATATCTTACACAGCAACTGGTATTGTGCATGGTGGATGAGAGAGTAGGCCCAAAGAATCTCGCGCTGTCATTTTTACAGCGCGAAGCGTAGCCGCTCAAGGTCCTATACCCTGAGCCTCGCATCAGGTTCAGTCCAAGAAAAGTCCTCTGGCGTTGTCCACGCGCACTTCAAGGAAAACACCGTGTGCGTGGTCCTGCACTGGCTGAAACCGCGGAGCTGCCCACTTCCACTTGTACGTTGTCTGCGACTGCGTGCTCACACTCCGCCTCGTCTGACTCGGTCGCGTCATCACCGACGAGGCTGGCACGCTGGGAATGGTAGCGTCCACCATGTCCGCGGGCCGCATCTCCTTCAGCGTCGTATCGGGCTCGGGCGGGACCAGGAGCCATTCTGGATCCCGCAAGCCGGCGTAGCGGAATCCCGCATAGCCGCTGACGGCGGCCACGACCAACGCCCAGACGACCACTATCAGAAAGTAGCTCGTCCAGTCGCTCGCGACAATGCCGTCCTTGGAGCAAACCTCCGTGTCGTAGTAGTAGCCGTCGTAGTGAGCGGTCTGGCCCTCACATCCCTGCAAGAGCGTCGCCGCTGCCGTGATCATTGCAAGGGCCGCCGAGCGATTGGCACCAGGAGAGCCTGCCGCGCTCCTTGACCGCCGCACCCGCGCAGCCGCCCCCACGTCGATGTCCACCTCCTCCGACTGCTGGTCGCTCTCCGCGACCTGGCCCATGTCCGCGTAGATGCCGTTGAGCGCCCTGAGCTTGACGAAGCGATCGTGTCCGAGGATCTTCGTGCCCAGGTCCGCTTTGTTATCGTCGGTGCCGACGGTCCCGAGGCCCATCAGCTTCCGCTTGATCGCCTGCTGGAGCCAGAGCACTCGCGCCTCCAGACTCCGAACCTTTCCAACTCCTTCCCGTCGGGCGATACCTCGGGCAGCTGACGAGTCCGTCAGCAGAGTAGCCGCCACTGAGAAGCCCATGAACTCCAGGAGCGACTTGAAGTAGAGTATGTATTCGGCGACCGCCGTCGCCGCGTAGTATTCTGCAACTCCCGAACTGGTGGCCACGATGCCCTGGCGCCTGCTGAACGAGTGCATGGGAACTCCGTCGATCTCGATCTTGCCGCTCGACTGTGACCTCCTCGTCTGCAGGTCGCCCGCCCAGTCGCTGTCGCCGAAGCCAACCAGCTCCACGTTCGTGCCCTCCGTCGGTCTCGGTAGCCAGTTCACCGCATCCCTCGTGCCGAGCAAGTACCTCACGAGCCTCTTGAGTGCGGTGAATGCGCCGACGGTGGGGCCTGACAGCATTCTGCCCAGTAAGCTGACCTCGTACTGGCAGTCCGCTCTGTCCTGAACGTAGTACATCAGCGCCCCCACGCACGAGCGGTAGACGCCAGCCTGCTGCTGAGACAGAGCGGGGGTGCTCCCCATGAGCGCCTTGCGTGCTGGCACCCCAGGCGTGGGCGCCGTGTTCGAGCTGCCCAGGCCGAGAGTCTCCACCACGTAGTCGAGGTACTTCGGGTTGGCCTGCAGCTCAGTGCCGTGCTCGTACCTCGTCCTCAGCCTCTTCAGGTGCTCGTAGGTGGTGCCGTACTCGTGGATCTTGCCGCCGCTGAAGGTCACGTGCAACTTCAGCTCGTCACGGAAGCCCCCCAGCGCGTCCCTCGACCCAGCCATGTGTAGGTCGTCCATGTGCAACTCAACCACCACCTCACTCTCAGGATTGTAGAAGAACTGCGGGGCCACCTCGCACCTCGTCATGTGCATCTCGTCCGTGAGGATGCCCACCATGTGCCCCACCCAGCCTGGCGCTGCCGTGCGCCTGCCAGGTAGCTGCTTCTTCAGTTTCCAGTAGATATCCGCGTCCTTGCCCTCCGCCTTGAGCATGTCCAGGTACTCATGCGGGGGGCCCACCACCACGTCTTCATACTCGGGCGCCCGGTAGAAGGCGTCCGTCGCGTCCAGCGTCATCACCTCGAAGCCGCGCTTGAGAGCCACGAAGTCGATCAGCCTGTTGGAGATCGGGGCTGATCCTGGCGAGAACAGGTCGTCTCGCCACTCCTGCCAGCGGAACTCGCGGCAGACGAATCGCACCTTGCGCTGCCACTCCCGCAGCGCTGGCTTCCACCTCCACTGCTTCTCCCAGCGCGTGGTGATGTGCTTCATCCCTCTCGCCTCCGACTTGGGGATGTCCTCGCCGACGCCGTGGTCCAGGAGGCTCTGCAGGTGCTCCAGCGTGAGCCTCTTGTCCAGCTCGTCCTGCATGTCCACGTCGAACATGCCGTCCGTCGGGTCCTCGACCTCGTCTGAGACCTCCTCCCAGAACGCGTCGGGCGAGTCGTCCACGTTGCCGACGTCCAGCGCGTGGACTGCCGCAACTCGCGCTCGCTTGCCTTCTGAAACTTCCGCCGCAGGCGAGACCTCGCGCCTCGCTGCCTGCGAGGGCGCCGCCCCCATCACCACGTCACTCGGCGCCGGCGGCGCTGGCGCTGGAGGCTGCGGCTGCGGCGGGGCCGCCGCTGCCGCAGGAGGTGCCTGCTGCGGCGCCTGGGGCTGAGCAGGCGCCGCTCCGCCCTCAGGTGGCCCTGGCTGCTGTGGCTGTGGAGCACCAGGCTGGAGTTGTGCATCCGCCTTCGGGAGCTCCGTCGCCACCTGCTGCGGTGCCCGCCTGCGCTTCGACCTCTCGGGAGCCGCCCTCGCAGCCCAGGGTAGCCCCGTCACCGTCAGCAGGAGCTCCTTGTCCGTCTGCTTCCCCTCAGGGAGCCGTCGCACCGTCCGCGCGCGGTCGAGCCCCCGAGGCGTCACCACCAGGTGCTCCTGAGACTCGTCCGATCTGCCGACCCAGATCCCTCCGCCCCACTGGGCCTCGCCTCGGCGTAGACGTCGTCCTCCAGCGAGACCTCGATGCGCAGGCCGCGCAATCCGATACAGCACCGCCTCGCCGAAGTTGCAGATGTCGCCCTTGTAGGGGGTGCCCGTCGCTATCTCGCGTGGGGTCTGTCCCCCAGCTCGTCGTGAGAACCGCTCGTGCAGCCACCCAGCGTGTCACATCATCCAGGCCCAGATCGGCATCGCTGCCGTGACCTTGGTGCCGTAGCGCTTCTCGAGGTCCAGCCTGAGAGCCCGCGTCTGGCCCTCGACGATCTTCACCGCTGCCTCCGCTGGGTTCGACTGGCTGCTGTGCTTCGGGGTCAGCTCTGGTGTGATCCTGCCCGTGAGCTCGCTGACCACGCCGTCTAGGATGGCCTTCGTCGCCTGCTCAGTGTCTGTCCTGAGCCTGCACTTGCCAGTCTCGAGCCGCTGCACAAATGACTTGATGCCTGCAATCGCGTATGGCGATGCTGCCTTCGATGGACATGGAATCACCTTCACCACTCCCGTGTCCGAGCTGAACCCCACGAGCATCGTCGCGTAGGTATCTTCGACCTTGGTCAGGTCCCCCTCCTCGTCGGCCGTCTTGCAGAAGCCGAAGTCGTAGCTGATGAGCGGGTGCTTCTGATCCGAGTCCTCGAGCCTGACCAGCGAGTGAGGGGCGTCTGGGGCCTTGCCCCTGACGCATTCCTCGCACCACGGCGCAGCGGGCAGATGCGTGAGGCGATGCTGCCTCTCCTCCTCCGCGCTCGGGGCCTTCGGTACAGGGAGCTGCCTCGCCTCGACGGGGTCGTGATGAATCCCGAGCTGCTCCTTCACTGCCAGCTTGTGCTGCTTTTCTGCCTCCGCGCGCCTGTGGGCTGCCTCTGCCACGATGAGCCGTTCCCACAGCTCAAGCTTCGCGCCGTAAATCGGCATGAACAACTCCCTCAGCCTGGTCCTCAGCGCGCCGACCGAGCTCTCCGCCGTGAGCACTGGTGCCGTCGCCACCTCCTGCTGCTCTGCCGCGCCGCGGCAATGGTGCGCAGCTGCCGCGGGCCCCGCGGACACGATCGGGAGCCTGAGGCTGTTCCGCTCGAGCTCCAGCTGCACGCTGCGATGGCCATTCGTCATGTAGAGCCCATCCTCCAGACTGAGATTGAACTTGCAGCCCTGCCTGAGCAGCTTGCCCATGCTCAGCAGGTCGTCGTTCACGTCGGCGGCGAGAAAGTCCGCCGTCGCCTTGATGCCCTCCTGCATCGTCATCTCAACACCCCGAAGGCCAGCCGTCGGCAACGGCTTCTGCTGCACGTCGAAGAGCCTCGGCGCGTCTGCCGCGCTGTTGACTGGGGCCTCTGGGACGAACATGTGCCTGCACAGGTGGTCGTCGCTGCCGCTGTCGATCAGGATGGAGCCGCCGAACTTCGCCACCTTGCCGTCCGTCGTCGCCGAGACCGCGAACACCCACCAGCCGTCGGGACGCCGCCATAGTAGCCCGATGCAGCACGCACCGTGCCGTCCGACTGCTGCTGCCCAGAGCCCGCTGCCGCCGCATCGCCCTGGACTGCCCGCGTGTTACCAGTCTCCTTCTTGGCGTCGTCTGCCTTCTTCTTCCTGCAGTCCGCGCGCTTGTGGCCCCACTTGCCGCAGTGGCCGCACTCGCCCTCGAAGTGCTCTGCCTGTCCCTTGCCGTGTCCGTGCTTGCCGTCACGATTCTTCGACTTGGTCTTCGAGTCCTTGCCACCCTTCGGGTTATTGCCAGTCCTTCCTGACTTGTCCGTCTTGCCCATCTTGCCGACCTTGCCCTGAGATTTGCCTGTGGGAGGTCCGCCTCGCACTGCATCCACCTGCATCGGCGCGACTCCGCCCGCATCTGGAACATGTGAAGGTCCGTCCTTGATTGTAGTAACCTCGGATGTGACTCCGAGCCGCGATGAACGCGAGCTTCACATCCTCAGGAGCCTGCCGAAGAACTTCACGATATGGTTCTGGCGCGTGCTCCAGCAGCACGCTCACTCGCACGTTGTCTGAGACGGCCTCGCCACTCTGGTCCACGTACTCTGCCACGATAGCCTCCCAGGCAGTGAGCGACTGAAAGAAGTCGATGCCCGACTCTCGGTCCTTCGCCCACTTGTCCTGGGGGTTCAGGATGAATCGCAACATGGCCGTCCACCGGTTGCCTGACCTGCTCTCGTACTCTATCTTGAGCTGGCGCCACGCCTCGAGGCCGTTCTTCCGCGAGAGCTCGACCACTCCCGGCGACTTGCCGTCGCGCCACGTGATCAGCAGGTGCCACAGCCGTTGGCTCACTGCCCTCGCGAGGTCACCAAGCTGGTCGTTCGGCAGCGGATCCCGCCGATTGGCCGCCTCGGTCATGAGATCCCCCATGCCGAGCAGCGCCGTGTAGGCCTCGAACCTGAGACTCCAGTCTCCCCACCTCTCATCAGCGCCATCGAACCTCTGCAGCCGCATGTCCGTCCGCACGTCGACCACATCGAGCGCCGCCATCTCCGACTGAGAGGTGCGCTGAGAGGGTGGCACGCGAGCTCAGATCCCGTGGGCACCGGAACCGAGCTCCGCTACCATGCAGCGATATTGATGCTGTTTCCCTTCAACATCAGAGCCAAAGGACCTACGGTGCTTGCTCTCTCCATGCCGTGCCATGCTATCTCCTGCAGAGGGGGGTCTCCGACCCCAGCAAATACAATCTCCAACAGCATATCAAAGACACATCACATCCTGGCGAATCACCTCGGGGATCGCACTGAGCTCGGACTGGACATAGATGGAGCGCATTCGTAAAAAAAATCTGGGTGCGGGATCCGCCCTCCTCTTGCCTGGTGGGAGAGGCGCCAACAGTATAGCTCTGGGGCTAAGGCGAGTGAGGTACCCACCTTGCCATGCGAGGCAACGCAGCAGTGAGTCATGAACTGGAAATGAGACGCAAATCAGAAGTCACATGAACGAACTGAACCGCCACCGGAGCGATCACGCCTCAGGTTTCAGACAACGGGCGTTGCTCGAACACCTGATCAAAAACCCTCCTCGGGAAGCCCGACGCGGCTGGGGGAGGACGCTCCTACTCAACGGAGCTGGCGGCGCCAGCGGACTCATCCTTCCCAGACATGCACATAGACGCGTCCAAGAGGGCTCCGAAACGGCCCAAGACAACCCCAAGACTGCTCACGATGGCTTTAACACGGCCCGCCAAGCAGCCGACACGCCCCGCGATGACCCCGAAAGGATTTCCAGGAGGGCCTGTAAATGCGGCATATAGTCACACATACACACATGTATATCTATAATTATATATATGTGTGTGTGAGTGTATGAAGGGTGCGAAGTGGTGTGCATGTGCTGCGTGTGTGCGTGAACGTGTGCGTGTGCGTGTGCGCGTGTGTGTGTTGTGTGTTGTGTGTTGTGTGTTGTGTGTTGTGTGTTGTGTGTTGTGTGTTGTGTGTTGTGTGTTGTGTGTTGTGTGTTGTGTGTTGTGTGTGTGTGTTGTGTGTGTTGTGTGTTGTGTGTTGTGTGTTGTGTGTTGTGTGTGTGTGTGTGTGTGTGTTGTGTGTTGTGTGTTGTGTGTTGTGTGTTGTGCGTTGTGTGTTGTGTGTTGTGTGTTGTGTGTTGTGTGTTGTGTGTTGTGTGTTGTGTGTTGTGTGTGTGTGTGTGTGTGTGTTGTGTGTGTGTTGTGTGTGTTGTGTGTGTGGTTGTGTGTTGTGTGTGTGTGTGTTGTGTGTTGTGTGTTGTGTGTTGTGTGTTGTGTGTTGTGTGTTGTGTGTTGTGTGTGTGTGTGTGTTGTGTGTGTGTTGTGTGTTGTGTGTTGTGTGTTGTGAGTTGTGAGTTGTGTGTTGTGTGTTGTGTGTTGTGTGTTGTGTGTTGTGTGTTGTGTGTTGTGTGTTGTGTGTTGTGTGTTGTGTGTTGTG